AATAACGCATGTAATACCAGCAAGTCATTTGACTAATTTTAAATGTTTAAAAGAATAAAGTTGACTAAAAGAATAAAGTTTATTAGTATACATTCAGTTAGCACTGGTAGAATAATTGTAGTAGCAGTAGCAGTTTTACTGCAATTACTGATACTTACAACTATTGTTAGAATAGTTGTAATAGTTTTTCGTTCACGTTTTTTTATATATCCTAAGGTTATTCTATTGAAGGCTATTATTAATCAGTAGCTAAGCATGATAGTCTTAAACGATCTATACGTTGTCGAATGTTACGGAGGATTATTTGAATTTTACTGAGAGTGTAGTAGACATTAGATAAGATGCAATAATTCGTTAAACATCACGAAGAGTTATTTAATTGCTTTCATTAAGAACACTTCGTTTTCTGAAAAAATAGAAAATATTCGTTCCAAGCCTCGTACGAAATTGATCCAGTGAAATAAATATACAGCTGCGTTTTGAGTAATTAAGGGCTCAAAACTGTTTTAATCGTTTACTTTATGAAATAACAAACGAAATATTTAATTAGTCAAAAAGATATCATCATTGAGGTGTTAGTATTATCATCACATTATACCTAGACAAAAAAAGTAACTAGGAGAAAAAATGTTCGCATATTGATAAATATCTAGCATCACAACAAGTGTAAATGAAAGGTAAAATCTGGAAATGAAAGGTAACATTTCCGATTCGGCAAGGCTTTGAATCACCGTTTTTCATCATAACTGAAAGAGAAATTTAAATTAGTAGTTCAAGGTAAATGGATAAGATGAGATTTTGGGTCATGATGGTAGTTCATTATCATTTTGGAAACCTTGGAATTTTATTGAATGTATAGATATCGCTAAGAAAAAAACCATTACTTTTCTAAGGAAAGAAGAACAGGCTTTAGACAGAATTTTAGAACTGCGCATGAAATGGCATGATATTTATGAAATAGGTTTTGTTCGATTACAACGTTCCGATTACATGTTCGATTACACGTTCTAAAAAAGCGGTGAATTTTGTAATATCGTAATGCTGTGCGATTAATGCATCATCTGTAATATGACTGTCAGCTGCTTACACAAGCTTGATTAGTTCCCGATTTAATTTCTAAGGCAATTAGAGGTCGCGAAATTTAAAAACTAGGTTAAAAATTAAATTTCGAAAGAAAGTGAGCAATCAATACTCAGAATCAGAAGACTGGTTGAATATCAGAAATCCCTCAATTTGAGAAATATATCCTTTATCAGTTTCTGCGATTGCAGTTGATAATTAGAATGCGTAAAGGACTTGAAATTTTTAAAGCTTGTTTAATGATGTGTTAGGAATTTACGATGAGAAGAAAAGTTCAAAAAATTCTTCTAGTTACCTGTAACTGTGCATTTTCCGCGTTCAGATTACTCGGAAATATTACTTGTAATTCTTACCTGATAGCTGTAGATCAATAATTCAGCTTTCGAACACAAAACCAAAACAAAATATCAAGATAACAACACGCCAGCAAAAACAACATGGAAATTAACTGGCAAACATAATGAGATTTCATTCGTTACAACTGAAGAGTTCATAGTTACATATAAATCAAGTACAGTTATTTCTTTGTAGAGTAGTTATCGAGATATAAAGAGTGGAACAAGATTCTAGACGAGTTTTAAAAACACAAGAAATTAGCTTTTCTCACTGTGACTTTAAAAATTCAGCCTTAGTTTTTGAAGTATCCGAAGTCAATTTTTAAAACCATGAACATTTTAGCTGATGAAAGACCTTCAGAGACGAATTAAATTTGCGAACCGAGGTCTCACTGAGCATAAATTGAAAATTACGTAAAGAATTTACGTATTTATTCGAGATATAGTAATAATAAAAATCTTATACTCACATAACGGCTTTCAAGGGCTATTTGTCATATTTTTGATTAAAGGCCGATTAAACAAAGCTGACTCTAAATTTAAACAATACAAACTATAATTAAGATGTTGCTCTTATTATTTGTATTATTATTATTATTTCTTTTCGGGTGTAAATACGGCATATACTTGCTGTTTTGATCTCCACCTTCTTTTTGAAAAAGTTTTCTCCAGAAAACTGACGAAGAAAGACGTCAATGCAATTCGCCGACGTTCTGTTTCCAAATATCACCAGACGTACCGAAATTTTCAGATTAACACCAACAACAATATAAATTTTGTAACACCGTCATCAAATTCCTTTGTATTAAAACAATGGGAAATATTTATCAATTAGAAGTGTTCTTTAATGAAGTTCCAAAACCTGATTAAAACTTTCTTAAACAACTTTGTAGAGATTCATTGAGCTTTCAAAATGGGAAACGTTAAAAATTATGTGCCCTCGCACTACTCATAGATATTCTACTTATTAAGTAGATATACTAAACTCTTACACAACCAGCGCGTGCATAATAGAATGCAATAATTTCTTATAACTTACAATAATTTAAAATACATTTCCATTATCCCCACAAGCAAGAATCAAAAGGCTTATATTTAAATCTCATCATATTATTTATAATTAAAACGATTTAAACGTTTAGTACTTTTGTATATTCAAAGATACGTTTGATGATTTCACCGCATTTGGCGGGCGGAGTTTTTCCTTGTATACCATTTTGAAAGCAGATGCACAGGACAACTATTTTGAACGAAATCATGTTAGAGGTGAACGGACTTATCTTCAAAGTATGTGAACAAGTTCAAAACCACCACTTATGATAATTTGTACAGTAACTGCATATTTACAGGATTCGAGATTATACTTTGCATCGATTCATTTAAATTGATTTTTTCATGCTTCTGAAGTGGATAAAATGACATTGCTCTGTGATTAGCTTCGTGGGTAAGACTATTATTTTTTGTTAATTTTAATCTTAGTTAAAATATTTAATTTTACATTTAGAATAAAAAAAGTCATAATATTACTTGTTTATCCTAAGTAAATGATATCGCGGTTTGAAATCTTCTGACAAATAGAAAGAATGATAACATAATTAATGTACTTGAATTTCTTCTTTAATAGAGAAAAATAAAAATATATGTTATTAGTTTTTATTATTATTAAAACTGGCTTAAGAGCAGTGTAATGACAAAATATTGTGCTAAAATTTAGTACTGGTATCTTTATGGCGACAAAATTTAAATAGTTTAACTTTATCCTATCACTTCTGAAAGCATCTTATCCTTTCAATAGCTTCGTATGTGATCTCTGCAAAGGCCTAAAACGTTTGTTGCAACAGATTTAGAGTTTTATACACGTGAAACATATTTAAAGGAAAACAAAGTTGAAATGTAGGAAATGCACAAATTTAAAGCTAAATAGTTATTTCGGAGTCTTGATGGCCTTCTTTCATCAACAGCAAGTAAAAATAGAAAACAAGTAGCGATACGAAATCTGAATGAGAAAGGTAACTGACACACACAAAAAAAATATCCTGTTTGTTTACTCTTAAAAGATGCTTCTCCCTCGAAATATTTCAGTTTTAGTTTACTATAAACGAACAGTGAACGATAGTATACCAAACTATAAGCGAGTTAAAGTCTATATTACGACACTCTCTGTATTTATAGGAAGATCGTTGCATCTTTCTACAGATACAGACAAGAGCTGCGTTAAAAATGATGTTCTAAAAAGTCTCAGAGTAAATGGAACAGTGTGGGCTATTAAACAGAAGATCATTAAAATCGTATGTAATGAGACTTATATATTTTTGATAAATTAATTCGTTAGTGATTGAACTGGAATAGGAATAATTGAATAGTTGCAGCAGTATTAGTACTTTTTGTTTCTTTCTAGAGTAATCACCTTATTTCGCAGAAATATAAATTTACTGCATTTAAGTACAGTAAATGTAAATTTACTACTGTAGAGAAAGAGTACTCTAGTGCTGTAGAGAACTGAAGTACTGTAGAGAAAGAGGAAAAAGTTTCCAAACTATCAATCTTAAAAAATAGCTCATGTAATCTGTAGTGATTTAATTAATCAAATGATTTAACCAATCAAATAAGTAACTTAATTCTACTTCGTATTCAATAAAATCCAAACATAAGTGATGCAATAAAGATTCAGCATCAGATATCTTTTTGACGTATATTTTTGTCTAATATACAGTTATAAATAAATTTTTCTTCTTCTTTTTCGCTGGTGTAATGTTTTATGTAAAAATTATTTATAAATTATTTTAGTTCTAAATTTGTTTAACTTTATGTAATATTCACGGCATGCTGCATAATAATCTTCCATAACTTATATAGATACATTAAAAAATATAACTCTGGGTATGTATGCCAAAGTTTTGAATCAACTTGTTTTAAATCTTTTAGTCTTTGGTTATTGCTAGTATGCTGAGTTGATTAGATTACTCATTTCCTACTTAAGACTGACATGAGAAACCAGTTCAACTTTTAAAATTCGCTTGATTATTATCCATGACAGCTCTGCTGGTAATAAAAGAGCAAGCAGCCACCTACAATCAAGTCCTTGTAGTTTTATAATAGCTCTTGAACTATATTTAACGCCGACAAGTGCAGTCTTCGGCATCAGAAATAGCCATGCAAAAAAACTACTAACTTAACAAAGAAATATTCCACAACATCAACTTCAGATCATTATTTCTTTCACAAACCGGAAATAAATCCGAAACTCACAAACAAAACAGAAATCAAAACCAATACTTGTGTTGATCTAGATTCCGTAATTGCTGTATATAAAAAAAAAAAAACCGAACAAATGTCCATTTTTCGTCCAAATCCGAGTGAATCCTTTCCCCTCCTCTCTCGTCAACCCTACTCTTTCCCTATTCGAAACTCGAGACGGCGCACGCAGGTGATCTCAGAGGCGCAAAACGCGGAAAAATCAGCACGGTGGGCGGGTCAACTCCGCACCCACCCGTCCCCTTATATGTCGATGAGAGCCGTGCTCGACTTAAGCACCACTGGCTGAAGCCTTATGAGCCAAAGTGTTCCGTGTGCAAAGCGATAGAAAACACTAAGGCAAGAGTGTTTCGAATACCCTCGCTTTCGAACTCGGGATTTTGTACACTTAGTGCCTCCGAGGCTTATCGAGAAGTCAGCAGCGTTTTGTGGGAGTGCCACCTTCAAGAACACTTGGTTTTTTTTCTTCTTTTGCTGCTTCATTCCTCAACGAAGGTAAGAATACTTCTGCGTTTTTCTGAATATTTTCAATTTTGTAAAGTAAAATTTTTGCTTTGGTTCGTGATTTTTCTACCATATTAGCGTGGAGTACTACTGATATTTTTTTAACCTCAGCCGTCTTTGAAAACTTCGAACTTTTTTGCTGTAGATATTTAGAGTTGAGATTATTTTCCATGGAGTTTAAAATTTATCTGACCAGAGAAATTTAAGCGAAGAATATTTGAGAAAAGGAACTGAATAAAATATAGCCTAACTAAATAAATGATTTTTTTTTTTTTTTTTTTTTTTTTTTTTTGTCAATTATGAGAAAATAAATTTTATTTAAGGAATTTTTTTAAAGGAATTGTTTTGGAATATTTTCTGGGATTTAATTATTTTTCTCTAGCATTATTTCCATAAATTTCTGCTGCACTTTCCTCAACAGACCAGACTTACAAAAATAAGTACTTAAACCCTCTCAGAGTTATGGACGGAAAATTCCGTACAGAAGACTGGCTTCTTTATTCATTACACGTGAAAGTTTCTCCCAACTTTTTTATGTATCCGATTTCGGTTTGGATGTATATTGGAAGAAAAGGAATCAAGGTACAATGTGAGACAGCCATTTTTCAATTAAAATCAAGGAGATATTACTTATTCATGACATTTTCAGGAACTTTGAAATTTCAGGGCTAAACCCGTAACGCTCGGAGGATATCGAAAAGAATAAACTAAAGAATCAGAATTGTACTGAGAAATTTATGTTTTCAAATAGTAACGCTGATTGAAGACTGTTTAGCTTTTCCTGTTGTAACTGTATTTTATGTTGGATAGTTAGTTGGTACTAAAGTCAATATTCACTAATTGTATGACTCGCTGATATTATCACGGAATTAGTCTGCATTTATCCAAATGTGCTCCTGATAAGGAAAAGGAATTAATAAACTTTTGATTTATTAAATGAAATAAGTTTCCAAATTCAGAGGTATATTTTTTATAGCAGTAAAGATTTCATTATTGAAAGATAAATGTTGTCAAGAATTATGAATGAGATTATGCTGCAAGAGACTAGAGAAGGAACATTTCGTTATCTCCATATACTTGCCACAGGAAAAGATGAAAAAAATATTCGAAGGAAAAAAATTGTGGAGAGCGAGGTGGTTTCGAAAAAAATTTCATATTTTTATTTTACAAAGTATTTTTAAGGAAATAAAATCAGCACAAATGCTCATACAAACCCACATCAGAGTAAAATTAATCATTTAGGTTTTCCTGAGCGATTTGAGCTTAAACTGAGGATGTGAAGTGCAACATGTAACAAGGAAGGAAAAGAGAGAGCTAATTTGGCGATCGGATAGCGCGGTATCGCCAAAAGTATTATTCACGAAAATTTCCGATGTTTAATTTTCCAATTTCTTGGATTTGAAAATTAATAATTTTAGGAAATAATTAGTAATCAAAGAATGATCGATAATTATTGATCGACAAATTTAAACCGTGTTTCACTCTGATAAACGTTTCTAATCTATTTCAAATTTAAATAGGATTTTTTCTTTATCTAATGCTGATGTTTACTCTGTCAATTTATTTTTGTTATAGTTTAGAGCAGATGTAAAAGTTTTCTGTATCCTAAGGTGTTATTTTTAAAGCTTTTTTTTTTTAATTTCTTAAAATGCAAAAATCAGCTGTTATTTGATGCAGCAGGTTAAAAGTACTTTTTAAATAAATTTTAATTAAATAAATGTGCTATTTTTAATACATTAATTATTAATTTACTAAAAGTTAGTGACTTTCTTAATATTGGTTAACTTTAGTAGAAATTTTAAATAGTCCTTATTGTCTTGTTTAGACTTTTCTTTGTAATATTTTTTTTCATCATTTAATAGTAATGAAATATCGAAAATACTTTCTTTAAATTATTATTAAATGATCATGAAAATACTATCAAAAGAAAAACTATAAATAGTACTTTTTAGACAATATATTGTAAAGAATTTTACCTTGACATAAAATAAATACTATGAATATAAATTCTAGAAGATATTTTTAAAACAGAACGCCAAATATCCGGTCTTCGTTATCTGCAATGCCTGTTCATGTTAATTTATTTATCTTATCTAAAATTTTCTTGTTTAAAATTATGTTAAAATATATGACTACAGTGTTTTTAAAAAATGGTTTAATTAATTTAAAACACAAAGTAACCCACATTAATAATTTGTAATAGTATTATTTTTACAGAAAGAGGTTTTGAATAACAGTCTAATATTTCAAAAAGATTTCGCAATTGAAAGTTTCAAAAATTTTAAATGTAGATAATTATGATTATAATAATAACCTACATCTATATATATATATATATCTATATATATATATATATATATATATAATATCTGAATAAAAATATATCTGATCTTTATATTCCAGTTTCAATATAACATTCTGAAACAGTTACGGCAGATTTAATTGTTAAAACATTGATCCTGAGAAATTCAGGATACACAACATTAACTGTGTATTTTTTACTACATCGTTTGCGCGTGAGATTTTTAATTATTTTGCATTTTGTTTTACAGAAATAAAAAAGAATTACTGCTGTGTTTTAGCGAAAAGAAAAGAAGGTTATGTGTTTAGAGTCTAAAAATTAGTTTAATTCACTTAGTATTAATTTTAATTTTAAATGCATAAAATTCATTTAATTTTTATTCTGAAATAGATTTTTTTTTTTTTTTTTTTTTTTTTGTTCTTTGAAGTCAAACATGATTTCATCCCTTAATTTTAACAGTACAACATAGTAAAAAGAGCCTTTCACTTTTTTGTACCGAAATTTCAATTTTAATTTTTAAAAATTTATTTTGTAATTTAAATTTTTATCCAAAAATTTATTGAAAACATGCGGGTAGACAAAAAGGTAAAATTCTTTCAATTACTATGAATTAAAAAATTTTTAGAATTTTCGTAGAAGTAGTATCCAGACATCCAGACATTTTAAGTTGCACTTAAATGAAAATTACAGTCAAGAAAAATGAATTTAAATATAAATTTTATATAAACTAAAATCCATTTGGAAAGTTTCGATACTTTTGATACTTGATAACACGTTATGAATTATTATTTAGTTCCTTAATCAGCCTTATTTATTAACTAACTAACTTAATTAGTCTGATTAATTTCCATTATAATTTTAAAAACTGCAAATTGCAAATTTTCCAGATATTTTTCATTTTAAATGCATTAAAATTTGTATCAGAAGGAACTGAATTCTTCTGTAAATTAAATTCATTGCACAAATAGTTTTAAATAATCTGTCAAGTTTCATTTCGCAATCAAAATAATCTTTATGTGAATCATTTAGCGTCTAATGACAGTTAGGTTAGACAAATACAATGGGAAGAATAAAAACAATGGGATGAACGTAATCATTTGCAGTTAAATCGTTGCCAAAAGATAAAAAGATAAAACTGCGTCTTGAATAGCTATTTAAAGTACTATATTTTGGAGGATTGGAGTTCTTTCAAGCGGGGGAAGATAGAAACTATTTTAGAAAGAGGTTTTAAAAATAGACTGACTTTGAACCCCCACTTTGGGTGAGACGTTTTGTTAAAAGCGGCACTTTTAGTGATTCATGGTTTGTTGCTGTAGTGATTGATAAAATTTAAGGAGGCTAAATATATTCAGGAAGTAGATTCATGAACTATATACGTAATAGTTACTATGTAAAGTAAAAACATTGCTTTCAGTGTTTTATTACTATAAAATATATTTCTTTTAAATATCATCTTCTAGTACTTGTTTTATATTGTTTTCCCCCTTTTATTTATTATACCAACTATTACGCTATTGTGAGTTTCTGAAATATATTTCCATGTTGATCCACAGCGGTCTTAAGTAGTAATTTTGAAGACAAATTTTCGAATTTAGAATAAAGCAGTTGTATCTGCTGGAGACCAAATTGTTATACTATTATATAAAACATATTGCAAAGGAATATAGAATATAAATATTAAATGTCTAAATTTTGATTTGCTCTAAGATGCATTTTGAGAAAATTTAACCGTTTGCCTTTCAAAACAGATCCATGTTTTTATTGGAGATATTTATAAAACCATTGAAAACTGAGAAATAGTTTTTCGTAAATGATAATATTTTCTTACTAACAGGAATTTGCTGCGACCGATTTATTTTACAATAACACGAAGCAATGAAAAGTGTTTAAAGCATTAAAATTAAATCGAATGAAATAAGGATATTTTCGAAATGATGGTAAATTTTATACACAGTAATTTAACATTTACATTTAATTAATATTCAATCTCCAGTGATGCACTTAATTTTCGTATCCTGCTTCATAAATTATATTAGTTTTTTATAACCCATAATTTCTTACATCCGAGTTTCTTATAATAGAATTCGAATGTTTCAAAAGATAGTTTAACGCTAAGAAAGGTAGTGCATAATGTTCATACGTGATAAATGCTATGCTAAGAAACATTTTCGAAACAGAACTTCTTTTTCTTTTAAAGTTATAGTGTAAAATAATATTATAATTCAGTATCGAATTTATTATTAGGCTTCTTTATTAGTTTTTGCCTAATATAAAATGACTTAGTAAGACGAATAGGAAAAGGAAACTTCTTTCATTTCATACTGATTTAATTGTAATGTTAAATATTCAACAGATGCGCTTAATTGATTTAATTGTTCATTTGTTACATTTTTAAGTTACTCGTTTTAACCCTACATTACTCACAAATAAACAATTTGAAGAATAGAAATTGCTGTTAAAAATAAATAATAAATGAAACTTGAAACTTGAATTTTTAATATTATAAATAATTGTTAAACGTTATGTCAGAAGAAACAATTTTTTAAGCAAAACAGAAAAAAGGCTGACATTTTTCTCATGTATAATAATTACTAATTATTAAACTTTCTAACTCTGTTATTTTCGAATCTTTTTCAACAGTTATAGTATGTTGTTTAAGAAAGTAAATATATATTTTCAGTTATAGAAT